AGACAGTCGCCAATCAGAATGAGTTTTTTGGGAGTTTGTTTTGGCAGTACTAGGGCTTGAACTCAGGGCCTCAAGCTTGCTAGAGAATGCATTCTTATCAATTGAGTCACTTCACCAGCCCTTTTTTTTTGTGTTGGGCATTTTCAAGATAGGGTTTCTCAAACTTTGCCCAGCTGGCTTCAAACAAAGATCTAATCTCTACCTCCTAAGCAGCTAGGATTACAGGCGTAAGCAACTGCCTCCCAGCCAGAATGGATTTTTGAGAGGTAGTTTTTATAAGGTGTGGCAACAATTTATAAAGTCACGGAAGACTTAGAAAAATCTCTGTGTTCAAATAACACCGACAAAAGCAAATTTTTCTAACTGAAAATGGGATGAATTGGTACTAATTACAAACATTCATACACTTCTCCATTTGGTATAAGAGAAGCAAATTGATACTCTTTAGAAAAATTGTCATTTAATACCAGATTATTTGGGGTAGGGTTTTTTGGGTTTTTTTGTTTGTTTGTTTGTTTTTTGCAGTACTGGGGTTTGAACTCAAGCTTTGCACTTGCTTGGCAGTTGCTCTATCACTTCAGCCATGTCTCCAGCTTATCTGAGGTAGTTTTATAATGCAGAATGGTGTCTGTCACCACCTGTACAGGAGAAAGGAGAATGTTGCTCGATCTTTCTGAGACCCTTTGTTAATTATGAAGATTTTTGCAGGCTTCAGGCTCTGGCTGTGCAGATAAAGTTGACCTATAACCTTGAACGAGCCCCAGTCTCATCTGTAAAAAGGCATGGTAATAAGTGTGTCAACTCCATAGAGCTACAGTGGGGTTCACAGGAGAGGGATTTATTTGGAACAGGCCAGTCTAACAGTAATGACCAACAAAATTAAGGAAATTTCTGACTTCCCAAAAGGAAAGGAAGAGCAAGAGGCAAGACAGTAGCCAATCTGATTAAGTCTTTTCTAGGTCCATGCTGAACTGAGCCTCTTATCCTGGCTTCTGCCATTGGGACAGTGCTAAGTGCCCTTGTATCACAGTCCTGCCTGTTCAGTGAACAGCCACCTACCAAGCCACAGGCTAGGCCAGGGATCTTTCATCAGGATGCGTTCAGCCTTTAAGGTGGAGTACACCTCTTTACAGCTCTTAAAAAGACTGCTCAGGACATCTCTTGCCCCAGAGCTAAGGAGTACTGTGCATAGCCCTGAGAGAGGTATGCTTGTCCTTAAATGCACTTCTGCTATTAACAGAGGTGTGTGTTGGGGGGGATTTTCCAACCCCTGTGTTGGGGACAAGGGCCAGCCCTTGTGTTGAAGGCTTTAAGAACTATAAAGACCTACACAAATGCTAGATGGTATGCTACATTTATTACTCTCAAAGGTCACCAGTGCATCTCCAGTTGCTAAATACAAAGGTCCTTTCTCACTCCTAATCCACTTTGATCTCTTTTTGTGTGGGGGACTGGAGTTTGAACTCAGGACTTCTTGCCCTGCAGAAATAGTTCAGTCAGAAGAGTGTTAGACTGAACTCAGGACTTCTTGCTTGCAAAGCAGGTGCTCACAAAGGAGGCATTCTACAGCTTGAACCACATCTCCACTTTGATCTCATTATCATACTAAATGCACTTCAGCGTTCACCTCAGGTCCTTGTTACCTTTCTTGGTTAGACAGCCCACCTGATGAGTCTTATGGAAGCAAAGCTCTACTTAGAATAGTAATTGTAACATTATTGAACACTGGTTCATCTTCAGTACCAAGTGCTTTAAACTCATCTTTTTTTTATTTTTGGGTCAAACTGTAAACCCATCTTTTAAATTTAATCCTCTAAACCATACAAAATGCAGTTGATCTGAAATGAGTGTAAATAGCTAAGGCAATTTAAGGACTTAATTTCTCTCTTTTATAGAGAAGGAAATGCTCAGAAGAGCTAATAAGTAGCCCAAGATTGAAACCCAAATGTTTTTTAAGTCCAAGATCACAGCTTATAACCACTTTTCTCTGCTCAATGGCTTCTCATTGCCCACGGGATAATGACCTTAATCTGACATCCAAGTTGGGACATAATTTGTACCAACAACCTTCGCAGTGTTAGCATTGTGGATTGGGTCTAGGCAGTGTGTTTTTCAGTTGTTTTGTGGTAAAAACACTGACAGCTAGTCTTTCTGAACTTGGTTTCCTTGTGTATATCCAGAATAGACTGGGAGTGGTAGAGTGAGTGCTTAGTGTGCATGAAGCTCTAGGTTCTGTCCTAAGCACCACCAAATACTGAAATGAGAGAAGATTGCACCAGTTCATGGTATGGAAACCACTGTCTCATGTTTTTGTGCTTTTTATGTCTCCATAACCCCAGTGCCAGAGTTCCCTGCCAGGGCCCATGTTCCCAATTCTGAGATGTGGGAGACGGTGGGAGAGTCAGAGATCAATGCTTTTGTGACTGTTCCCATTTACCACATTCTCAGAACTAGTGTGTAGTTTTATGTGGTGCAGTAGAATCTGCTTTTCCGCAACTCAGTGGAGGAAAAGAATATTTTTTCCTACTATTTCTGAGGTTTTATTACCAGTAATTTTTTGTGAATAAATATTAGAATGTCTTTAGCCAGCACTGAGAAAAAAAGACAAAGGATGCTGGGGTCGGTGGCTCACTCCCATAATCCTAGCTACTCAGGAGGCAGAGATCAGGAGGATCGTGGTTCAAAGCCAGCCCTAGCAAATAGTTCCACGAGACTCCATCTCAAAAAACCCTTCACAAAAAATAGGGCTGGTGGAGTGGCTCAAGGTGAAGGCCCTGAGTTCAAGTCCCAGTACTGCAAAAAAAAAAAAAAAGACAAGGGAGGCACCTGACAAGCTTAGACTTACTTACACTCTTGCTTCTAAATTGTTCTGTGTCCTTTCTGGATGTCACTGCAACAGACCATGAAAGCCTAGTATGCAAAGCTTAGAGCCAATCCTGAGTGAACTTACTTTAACATCTTTAGTGTGACTTTGGGTTGTAGAATTTTAAGAGGAAAAGGTTTTTGCTTTGTTTTTTATTTGAATATGTAATTTATAGATACTTGTATTAGTTTTGTGAAAGTTTTCTAGAAATGGGTTTGAAACATGATATACTTTTAAATATGAAAGAACAGGCTAAACCCTTGCCTAACATTGTGGGAGGCCCTGGGTTCCATCTCCAGCACCACAAAAGAAAGAAATAAGAGCCCTCTCAGGACTCTCATCCCAAAGTTAATTGACAGCAGAACAAGTTTGTGTCTAGAGTCTTTGGATTCTTCAGAATTTTAATTCTTTGAATTTACTGAGCTTGCCCTCTTCTTTAGTTGTTCCTTTTTATTTTTGTTATTTTGGTGCTAATCTTTATTTATCCAGGTGCTGACATTTTCACCCTAGAATTAATTACACAGATGTTCAACTGTACTGTTTTCTAAGCAAACAAAGTAGGCAGGAAATATGGGCTTCCTGAGAAAATGAGCTTTCCAGGATAGTAAGAAAGTTTGCCTTTGAAAGTTTATTTATCTTATGCCTGCTTCTTTTTACTTTTTTTTTTTTTTTTTTGAGACAGGGTCTCATATATAATCCAAGATAGCCTGAAATTTACAATCCTCCTGTCTCAGCCTGGAGAGGCTGGGATTATAGGTGTGTACCACCACACCTAGCTCTTATACCTGCTTTTTTAAATTATAAGTGATTTATGATTTTGATGAAGTTTGGATGAAATTCTGTTTTACTTTTCCATTTAAAATTTGGTCCTGACATTTTGCTTTTTGTTTCCATAAGTCTCCTTTGTAGAATCTTACTGTTCTCTTTTACTTGAATGGCTACATCCTTTCTGTTGATCAGCTCCTTGCTTGGAACAACTTCTCCACATCTGGACCTTTGGCCTAGGACTTCTTGTCACTTTTACACACTTCCCCTGACACTGCAGATGCAGTAGCAGATACTGAGCTTTTCCCCAGGACTTGCACCAATAGATGGGTCACTCTTAACTTTGGCAAATCACTCACTGGCCAGATGCTTGCCTCTCTCCTTCCCCCACCCACCCAACACTGAATGTGCTGCTCTTTAAAGGAAGTACCTCTCTCTCCTGATACAGTGGCAGGAATCCTGGAAAATGTCTTAAATGCAGGGAATGAACCCATTTTAAAAAAAAAAACAACAACTTCAAGATAAAGGGAGGGTAGGGAGCAACAGAGGTGGTAAACACTATCAAAATATTTTATGTATGGAAATGTCACAATGAAACCTCCCACATTGTACAGTTAATACGCACTGATAAAAATGTGGAAAAAAGAAAATTCAGGGGCCACTAAGATCTTTCTCAGCATGTAACCCAAGTCACCTACAATAGCACAACTGCCCTCCAGTCCTGACACACTGTTTCCCTGCCTCACATGGGGTGGAGAGGACCAGCCCAGACATCTGGAGGTTTCACCCTTCTTCCTCTCCACATGCAGGTGCTCTCTATCAGGAAGGACCTCCCTGAACTCCATCTTCAGCCTGGGCTTTTCCTCTTTTAGCTCTCCTTAACCCCCCTTCTCTAGTCTGTCCATTTCATTCATCCATTGGACATTGATAAGCATGGATTTAGGTGGCAGGCATTGTGCTGGGTTTGGAGGTACCAGCAAGTAAAGAGATTGCTAAATGCAGAAATATGGGCAGGAAGACTTCTGAATCTGTAAAGACGTGCTCAGAGAAGACTCCCCAAAAAGGTTTCTTTTTTTTTTTTTGAAGTTTGATTATGATTTTTTTTCTTTTATTATTCATATGTGCATACAAGGCTTGGGACATTTCTCCCCCCTGCCCCCACCCCCTCCCTTACCACCCACTCCGCCCCCTCCCTCTCCCTCCCACCCCCTCAATACCCAGCAGAAACTATTTTGCCCTTATTTCTAATTTTGTTGTAGAGAGAGTATAAGCAATAATAGGAAGGAACAAGGGTTTTTGCTGGTTGAGATAAGGATAGCTATACAGGGCATTGACTCACATTGATTTCCTGTGCGTGTGTGTTATCTTCTAGGTTAATTCTTCCAAAAAGGTTTCTTAAACTGGATTTTGAAGGACTGTTTGTAGCAGAGGACTTCTTGCAAGGGGGGAATACAATTGACAGGATCTTTGGTGGAGAAATCTGACAGTTACCATCTTAACCCAGTAACCAAAGGTAATATACCAAGTGCAAAAGCTGTGGTAGACTGCTGCTACCCATAGAATGCCCTGAGAACACGCAGCTTTCTGCGATAGTCCTACACAAATACTTGAGTCCGATCACTAAGAAACAAGTGAAACCTGAATTGAGCCACCTGTTACAAAATAACTGGCCTATATTGAGGGGGTTTTGTTAGCAGTCCTGGGGTTTGAACTCAGGGTCTTGCACCCATTAGGCAAGAGCTTTACCACTTTGAGCCACTCCCCCAGCTCTTTTGGTTTACTTATTTTTCAGTTAGGGTCTCATGCTTTTTGCCTGGGCCATTCTCAGACTGAGATCATCCTACCTTTGCCTCTGATATAGCTGTGATTACAGATATGTATTACCACACCCTGCTTGGTTTTTTTGGGTGTGTGTTTTGTTTTGTTAATGGCAGCACTGAGGTTTGAACTCAGGGCTTCATGCTTGCTAGGCAGGCACTCTTAACACTTAAGCCACTCTGCCAATCCCCCCTACCAGCTTGTTTTTTGAGGATCAAACTGTGATCTTCTTATCTCCACCTCTCAAGTAGCTGGAATAACTAATGGATGGGCTATCATGCCACTCACTGGCCTGTATTCTTTAAAGAAAAAAATTATGAAAGCCAGATTGTGGAGCTATTCCAATGGAAGTAGGATAAAGAGAATGCAGTTTGAGCTAGGGCATGGCTCAAGTGGTAGAGTGCCTGCCTAGCAAGTATAAGACCCTGAGTTCAAACCCCAGTACCACCAAAAGAAAAGGACCACCTGAGCCACTCCACCAGCCCTTTTTGAGTTGGGTACTGCAATCCTCCTGATCTTTGCCTCCTGAGTAACTAGGATTACAGACAAGCCACTGGCACCTAGCCCTGCTATATCTTTGGATAGTCTTTCATCTGTGCACTTATACTTCTGGTGTCTCTGTGTGTTTTAATCCCCTCTTAAAAAGCACTCATCAGATGGGATTAGAAACCACCCTAATCTCATTTTTTACTTAATTATCTCCTTAAAGACCCTATCTCCAAACAAAAGTCACATTCTGAGCTACTAGCGGTTAGAGATTCAACATATGAACTTAAGGGGGAACAATGCCGCCCGTAATGCATGACAAGATTCAGAATTTTAAACAGATTTATGCAATAATGGGATAAGACTTGGAGGCTTGGGAAAAGGTGAATGTTTTTTTGCTTGTGGAAGGAATATAAATAATTTGTAACCTTTGGATAGAATGTGCTGGGTTTAAAATATATTCACAATTCACAAATTCCTGATATTACCCACCCTGAAGAAGTGCAGCTTAATTCTCTTCCCCTTGAAGGTGGGATGGACTTAGTGATTTTCTTCCAACAAACAGAATATGGTAAAAGTGGTTGGTTGGTTGGTTTGTGTGTGTGTATGTGTGTGTGTGTGTGTGTGTGTTGTGCTGGAAATGGAACCCAGCCCCTTGTTTAAGCTAGGCATGTACTCTACCACTAAACTACAACTCCAGCCCTAGGATTTCTTTCAAGATGATCACAAAAGGTATTGGAGCTTCCTTCTCCTTGTTCTCTCTTAGATAGCTCACTCTGAGGGCTGCTAACCATGAACACTCAAGCAGTCTATGAAAGGGAACATATGGCAAAGAGCTGAGGCTTCCTGCCAACAGACATGAGTGAACCATATTGGAAACAGATGCTCTAGCTCCAATTAGCCATGTGATAGCTGGGGGGCGGGGGAGAGTACACCTGTAATACCAGTACTTGGGAGGCTGATACAGGAGGATCATGAGTTCCAGGCCAACCTGGGCTACGTAAGGACATCCCATTTTAAAAAGAAAAAGTGAGATGCCTGCAGCCCTAGCCAACATCTTGACTGTAACCTCATGAGAGACCCTGAGCAAAAACTATCCAGATCCAGCAACCCTACCCCTGGGTATATATCCAAAGAAAATAGAATGGCCAAGAGACTTCTGCACTCCCGTGTTCATTGCAGCTGCATTCATGATTGCCAAGATACAGAATCTACTTAAGTGTCCATCAGTGGGTGAACAGATAAAGAAAATGTGGTATGGAATACAATTCATCCTTTTAAAAAAAAAAAAAAGAGAAGAAACCTGCCATTTGCAACAACATAGAACCTAGAAACTATTATGTAAGTGAAATAAGTCAGGCACAGAAAATAGGGCATGATCTCAATTATATGTGGAGGCTAAAACAGTTGAACTCATGGAAGTAGAGAGTAGAATGTAATTACCAGGAGCTGGAGAGACAGGCAGTTGGGAAGATGTTGATGAAAGGATATAAATTTTCAGTTAGCCCTAACCTGCCAAAACAAACAAACAAAAACTCTCAAATTTCAGGGGACTGAGTTCAGGAGATCTATTATACAACATAATGACCATAGTAAATAACAATGTATTTAAAAACAAAGTAATATATTTTGGAAAGAAATGTAAGGGAGTAGATTTAAGAGTTTTCATCATAAAAAGTAGTATTTGAGGTAATGCATTCATTAATTAGCTCAATTAAGACATTCCACAATGTGTACATATTTCAAAGCAGCATGATGCACAAAATAAATATGCAATTTTGATTTGTCAATTTAAAAAGAAAAAAAAATTTAACCATTCTGCTAAGCTGTTTCCAGATTTCTACTACTCAGACACTAAGTGAGATATTATTTCAAGGCACTAAATTTGGGGTAATTTGCTACCAAGCAATACAAATTAGAACTGATAAACAAGATTTTATCAAAAGGAGAAAATTATATATAGAGATTGGGAAAGTGGCCTCTTTATCATTTATGTTACCTTCCTGTCCTCTGTAAGTATTTAAGTTTGTTACCACTGCAAAAATTACACTGCCACTTTCTCCAGTTAGATTACATATATTTCTAAGGCTGAGGTCATGACATCCCTTTATTTGGGGTTCCTACTCTAAGGATGGCTAATTCAGGAAACTCTTCAGGGGTGGGGATGTGGCTCAGTGGTCCAGCACTTACCTAGCATAAGTGAGATCTTACATTCAATCCCCAGGACTAGAAATAAAAAAAAAAGTCCTGTAGTAAATCTTTGTTAGCTACTAGAGGAGAGGAGTCCATGAGGGACAGAAGAGAGAGCGCAGGATGTCTGCTCTGCCTAATTTTCAAACCCGTGGATTAGGTTTTTTGCTCTGAATATTTGCTTGATGATGCTAGTTTAGGAATTGCGTAAGTACTGATCAGATCCAGTAAAGAATCTTAAAAGATTTAGCCGGGTGCCTGTGGCTCATGCCTGTAATCCTAGCTACTCAGGAGGCAGAGATCAGGAGGATCACAGTCCCAGGCAAATAGTTTGTGAGCCCCTATCCTGAAAAAGAAAAAAACACCTGTAAGAGCACTTGCCTAGCAAGCATGAGGCCCTGAACTCAAACCCCAGTACTGCCAGAAAAAAAAAAAATCTTCAAAGATTCAGATCAAATACAAGTCAGTCATATATATTAGGTCACTTAAAATGTTAACGTCATATGGTTCCACCTAATATATCATCTGTGTGTGTAGTGTAATTTCATTTTGTTTTGTTTGAAACAGGTTCTAAGTTTCCCAGGCTTACCTGAACTTGCTATATATCCCAGGCTGGCCTTGAATCTCCTGAATGCTGGAATTATAGACATGTACTACCCTGCCTGACTTCAGGGCCTCACCTTGTTGCACAGGCTGGTCTCAAACTCCCGGACTCAAGTGATCATCCTGCCTCAGCCTGTGGAGTACTGGGATTACAGGCCTGTCCCACCTTGGCTGGACATAATACATTGTATTTTCAATATATCTAATCCACTCACAGTTGATCCCTGCACTCTTGTAACATGTCTCCATATATCACAAATATTCCCAGGTGGTCTCCTGGGAAGCCAGCCTGCCTGGGCAAGATGTCACATCCCAATGGGTATCATTAACATTAACCAAGCTGGCTGTTCCAAGTCTTTGTGACACAAATGTGCAATTTGTGTTTTAGTCTTAGGACCTAATCCTAATGACTTCCTTTCTTGTCACTTTTATTCCTGCTGTTACAAGGCAGAAGGTGTGGGAGGCATGGGTGAAGGCTACAGTGGCCAGGGTGGAGCAGATGGTAGATGGTGATAGTGGTATCCACAGCACAGGGTTCTGAGCTGCACACAGGGTGCACTGTTATCCAGGGCAGACAACTGGGCTGGCCTTCTGTGCTGTACATCCACACTCACTATTGTGCCTCTTGCCCTGGGAAGATTTTGCTTTTGAATCCTTTACTGTGAATAAGCCAACAATTCATAAGTGATATCTCTCTCCTAGTCAAATCTTCCTCCTCTTACCCACTAACTAGCAAATAAATGTCAGGATGGGAGTAGCAAAGTGTGAAGAGGCTTAGCTCCGAAAAGGTGCTTTCCTGTGTACAGGTATGCTATGGGAGAAGTTGGGCAGGTGTAGGGACCAAAGGGTGCCAAAAGATTCCTAGGCAGGAAGAACTAAGAAAAACTTTTTTTGCATTACTAGGGTTTGAACTTGGGGCCTCACGCTTGCTAAGCAAACACTCTACCACTTGAGCCATTCAGCCAGTCCTTTTTTGCATTGAGTATTTTCGAGATAGGGTGTTATGAATATTTGCCCAGGCTGCTTTCCAACTGTGATCCTTCCGATCTCTGCCTCCCAGATAGCTAAGATTACAGGTGTGAGCCTCCAGTGCTCGGCTACAGACTTGTTCTTCCCTTCCTCTCCCTCCTCCTCCAGTTCGCCTGAACAACTGGCAGACACCATAAAGAAGAGATATATGATTTATTCCACATCACCCAAACTGGAAACAAGGCAGAAACAGGCAAGAGGAATGCAAAGCTGGCCCCAAACCCTTCCTCATGCTTTGTGGGTGTGAGGACCCACTTATCCAACGGTTTTGGGGGAGTGAGATGAATGGACAGAAACTGGTGGCAGATGTGTGTCCTGTTGCTGAGGATCCAAGATCACCTCCTGGGTGGGAGAGGTGTGTGAGGAAACCTTGCACTCTGTTCTGCTGGAAAATTCTTGCACTGTGCCAAAACTGCTGCAGCAGAAGACGGGGCCAGAGGGACGGCTCAGAATCAGACTCCAGAAATTTTTATGGTTGAGGTAGCAAAGGACCCCTGGGAAAGGACAGAAAGTGGAGGGAGGAGAAAGTGGAGAGTAGGAGTGACAATGACAAACAGAGTGATGGGGAAGTGAAGGTAAGTCCCTGGGGGACTTAGGGGTTACCTGCCCTGGGCGACCACACTTTCTCTGCCCTGACTGACCCACATCCCTTCCTTCCCCCAGGGCCCTCTTGGCCACTCACCACAAGTGGCATACAAGATAAACACCAGCCAACCAAGGAAATAGCTCCAGCCAATGGGGATTGATATATTCCTCTTCAACTCAAAGATCCAGAGATTAATAGGGAACAGCAGGAGGGTGAAGAAAATGAAGGTTACTAGGAGGCAGGAAGTAGAGAGGTATTATTCTCACCCAAGAAGAATCCCTCAGGGGCCTCTGTCTTGTCTGCTAAGCTCCAGCCACAAGCCGTACTTACACACAGAGTCCACAGCCCCACAGGCTCAAGAAATCAGCCAGTCTACCTCCCAGTGACCAGAAAATGATGCAACTCCACTTTCAGTGTCTTTTCCCACCACCCCCAAGACCCCACCACCACCTCCAAAGAAGAGGGAGAAGTGCCCAGGAAAACTTGGGTTAGGAGAACTGAAGTCCTTTTTCAGAGCTGAGGGCGGGCACCTTCACAGAAGCTCACGATGGTCCCAATCAAGCCAAAGTAGGGCAGTCTCCGAAGATGGGGCAGGTACGGCAGGTGCAGCCAGATGGTGAGGATGAGGCCAAGCCCCAGGGCCAGGAAGAAGCATATCATGGCCACCACAAAGATGGGATGGTTTGTCCATAGACTAAAACTGTCTGAGTAAAATGGCAAGACTGGGTGAGCTCAGGATTCACAAAAGATTAAATATAATCACATGAACAATATGAGAAAATGTACAGGCCCATTCATAACCAAAGAAATGCATATTTGATACAATAATAATGTATACACCTATTAAATAAGTGCAGTACTGAGGATCAAACCCAGGCCCTCATGCATGCTAAGCAAACACTTAACCACGGAGCTACGTCAACAAGCCCAAACCAAGAGTCTTGATGTGGACATTTCTTTTTGTTTGTTTGGGTTTTCTAAATTATTTTTATGGACATTTCCCGATAATCTCAACTATATTAATACAGGGACATGGGGAGGTGGCAGGTGGGCACTTGCCTAGTATGTTGGAGGCCCAGGGTTCCATCCCCACCCCCACACTCCCTACCAACACCGCCAAGGGTGACATGGTAGATGCTCATCTCCAAACAAAATGTTTCTGGGAAGAAACATCAGAACTGGAGTGGAAGACTGACCACCAAAGATAGGCAGCTTACTTCATTAGATAATTCTTAGTAATTTTTTTTTGAAATTTTACCCTGTTCATGATTTGATTAGGTATAATAAAATATTTTAATTAATGATGTTACAGAATAATTATTCAATGACATGAACAAATGTATGGAAAATTCTACCCCTGACCTTACAGGTGCAGCTAGGCACAATGACTCCTGCCTAAAACTCCAGTTACTTGGAAGGTGGAGATCAATAGAATCTGTTTGAGGCCAGCCTGTGCAAAAAGTTAGCGAGATCCAAGCTACACAGAAGCCTTAAGTAGGAGGATCACAGTCTGAGGCCAGCTCCAGACAAAAACACGAGGCTCTTCCTAAAAAATAACTAAAGCAAACAAATGGCTGGGGATGTGGCTCAAGTGATAGTGTCTGTCTAACAAGAGCAAGGCCCTGAGTTCAAACTCCAGTACTGCCAAAGAAAGAAGATAAAAATAATACTAATAATTGTTTTTAAAAAATTCACAATAAGTAAACCAGTTGTTTGTTCTCCTTCTGTCTCTCTCTCTCTCTCTCTCTCTCTCTCTCTCTCTCTCTCTCATTTAGAATAAGGACCACTTCTTATATTATTAACAATTTAAAATAAAATAACAATTGAGATTTAAATAATAAAATTATTTGTAAAAAAATGAGTACAACTATGTAAAACCATTCAGAACCTTTTAAATTAAAAAAAGAAAAGGAAGCCTGGTGCCAGTGGCTTATGCATATAATCCTAGCTACTCAGGAGGCAGAGATCAGAAGAATTGGGGTTCAAAGCCAGGCAGGGCAAATAGTTCACAAAACCTCATCTCAAAAAAACCCTTCATAAGAAAGGACTCAAGGTGTAGGCTCTGAGTTCAATCCCGAGTACCGAAAAAGAAAGAAAAAAAGAAAAGGAGGACTGGGGGCATGGCTCAAGTGATAAGAGTGCCTGCCTGGCAAGCATGAGGCCCTGAGTTCAAACTCCAGTACCACTGAGAAAATGAAAATGATGCTGGATGCAGGTGGTTCACACCTGTAATCCTAGCTACTTGGGAGGCTGAGATTAGGAGGATTGTGGTTTAAGGCCAGCTCAAGCAGATAGTTTAGAAGAGCCCATCTCCAAAATAACCAGAGCATAATGGACTGGATGTGTGGCTCAAGCAGTACAAAACCTGCTTTGCAAGTGCAAAGCCCTGAGTTCAAACACCAGTTCAACCAAATAAATAAAAAATAAAATAAAAAAGATGGTCTGTGGCTTAGTGGTAGAGCATTTGCCTAGCATACATGAGGCCCTGGGTTCCATCCACAGCAACACACACACACACACACACACACAGCCTGGCCATCTTTGAGTAGTACCTCCTAGCTAGGTGCTTCCATAAGCTTTAAAGCTAGAAACAGCTGAGTTATAATTCCACATCTGCCTTTATTAAGTTCATCCACATGCAATTGCTCCTTTTGTAGGGAAAAATACTCAATTACCGTCATTTCATATAGGTCAAACTAATAGTACCCTGCACAAGGGATTTGATCTAAGTTCCAATCTTCTGCTGTATAATAAGGATAATTCTCCCTATATCTCAGGACTAAAGATTTAATTGGAGCTGAGCTCTGGTAGCTCAATCCTGTATTCTGGAGGCAGAGATCAGGAGGATCGCAGTTCAAAGCCAGCCTGGGCAAATAGTTCGAGAAACCCTATCTCAAAAAAACCCATCACAAAAAAGGACGAGTGGAGTGGCTCAAGGTGTAGGCCCTGAGCTCAGACCCCCATACCACAAAAAAATAAAAAAAGATTTAATTGGACAAATAGAGTAAGTGCACAATAAATGATATTTTTATTTCCCCATATTATTATAGGATGCTTTGCTATCATTGTGGAAGAAAATAATAGCCATATGCTTTCCATAACAATGTTAAGGAGAATAAGCAAGTGGAAATGTGCCTCAAATCTCTGGTTTTCCCGGAGCTGAGAAGGAACTCAGTTCCTAAGAGGTGAGAGGGCAGCATGACATGAGGGAGTTAGGAATGAGGCAGCTTCAAGAAGTCAGGAAAGGAGGGAACATGGACACCACAAAGAAAAGGCAAATTTCTTGGGGCCAGAGAAGCACAGCCTGACCCGGAAGGAAAGGAAAGTGGCTGGGTCCTGGGATTGACTGGGAAAGAACATTCCAGGTGTCCCCTCAAAGCTCTGGAGATGCAAGCCTCGAGGAAGGAGACCTCACCCCCATGGGGCTGTTCTCCAATGTGCACTGCATGATTCAAACACACCCTTCACAACACTTTTATAAGCACAGACTTGGCCCTGGGCTTTTTCCAAAGAAGTGACATTTCTCCATTGATTTGGCCAGGCTGGAGGAGGAAATGGTTCTTGGAATCACTGGCACTGAAGCACCACCATAGCCAACTTGAAGGTCAAAGAAAGATGACTGGAGGGAGGGGGAGCATACTGGCACCACCACCAAGGTCAAGACAGGCTTAGGGCTTGGAGCCAGGGAGAGGATCTCACCTTTCCCACTGCCTTTGTTGAAACAGCTCCAAGACTTGCAGGTGTACAGAAGCCCCATGGACATGGCGTAGACTGAGGTGTAGATTCTGTTGGTGACATTCACAGGACAACGCTGGAAGAAGCGGCTCCCAGAGGGGTACAGCCATTTCTTGGAAAAGACCATGAACACCAACAGAATGAAGGCCAGCAGGCTGAGCTCTGAGGCCACCACCTGCATCAGCCAGCGGGAGCTGTGTTGAATTCTCCACAGAAAGGGCAGTACAGAGTTCCGCCGTGGGTCCCTGGACATCCATCTGGTACTGCAGGGAGAAGGGACAGAGGTCTGCATTCTCTCTTTCTGTCCCAGGCTCACCTTCACTCCTACTGTATCCCAACCCTCCCCTTCCTTTCCAGGCCTCAGGTGTTGGTCCTCTTCCCCTTCTGATCCCTCGGGCACCCTTTCATCTCCCCCTTCCCTTGTCATGCTCACTTGCCCCTCATCTTCTGTGCATTTTCATTAGGCAGAGCTGTGTTCATCTTAGGGCCTGCCATCTGGGAAAGAATGGGAGGGATACTCATCTCAGACATCTGAGCTCTAGCTTGAACAGAAGGCCCTCAACCCATCCTGCGGAACAGGGCCCCTAACTGCCATGGAATATTCCTGGGGTAAGATGGGGGAGGGGGCCCATGGATCCAACTCCAGTCCTTTCTGGGAATTCTGCTTCTCAGGCTCCAGCCCACAGCTATGGATCTGATGTCTCCCTCCAGCTTCTGCCTCCCTTTTGCCTAAGGCGATAGGTCCTGAGGATTCCCTTTTCTCTTCCTACTTCCTATGCCGTTAAACCCAACCCCAAAAGCTCGTTATGGATCAGGGGAGAGAAAACACCCTCCGTCTGCTCTTTGGATGCATCTTTCCAACGATGTCATCAACCTTCCCACTACTTTCCCCAGCCCCTTTTCCTCTCTCCCATCTCTACTCACTTCTGTCAACAGTGTCCAGTCTCTGGCTGGCAGTGTGGCTCAAGTAGTAGAGCACCTCCCTAGCAAGCGTGAGTCAATGAGTTCAAACCTAAGTACCACCAAAAATTAAAAAAATGAAAATGCCCACCACAAAAAAGGGCTGGTAGAGTGGCTCAAGTGGTAGAGTGCCTACCTAGCAGGTGTAAGGTCCTGAATTCAAACCTTAGTGCCAAAAGAGAGAGAGAGAGAGAGAGAAAAGTGGGCAGTGCCTTCCCACTTCTTTTTACCTTTCTTCTTCCCTTCTTTTCTTCTTAGCACAGAACAGGAAAGACGTAGAATAAAGAGAGGTCTGGGGGTGTACACAGACAGAGGATTCTTCTAGCCTCTCTCCTGCCTATTTTTTTTTATTTTATTTTTTGACACAAGGTCTCACTATGTATCCCAGGCTGGCCTTAAACTTGAGATCCTCCCAAGTCCTAGGATTACAGGCGTGTACCACCACATACAACTACCTAACCTCCCTTTTCAGTTACAGAAAAATTAGTGAGTCACCCAAAGCAAACCAGTCATAAGGGTGTCCAGATTTCAGTTGGCCCCTAGAATTCTCATGAGGAGAAAGCCTTTCAAATTTCGGAGGTGAGTTTGAATCCCACCAGAATCAATTTCCTTCCTGAGTACATAGTGGTATGGCTGAGAGCACAGGCTTTGTGGTCCACCCAGCAGGGATGTGAATAGTGGGTCTTCCACTTAATAACCTTCCAACCCCAATGTCACACAGCTTCTTTATGCCTCGCTTTACTCATTCTATAAACAAAGACAAGGACTGAATTCAAACCTTAGTGCTGAAAGAGAAAGAGAAAGAAAGAAGAAAGAAAGAAAAGTGGGCAGTGCCTTCCCACTTCTTTTTACCTTTCTTCATATATACATATATATATATATATATATACATATATATATGTATATATATACGTGTATATATATATATATATATATATATGTATATACACATATATATATACATATATATATATACACGTATATATATATATATATACACAAAAACAAAACTTGTCTCATAGTCTTGCTTTGAATATGGAATGAGATAATGAACAAAAATCCCTCACTGATGCATAATAAATTCCCAGTAAGTGAAAGTTATTATTAAATGATCATTTTTAGCTGTTTTGCAGTCTCTCACTAGCAAACAGAGAAGGAAGAAAAACACACGACAATTCCTGGGAGGCACCCTTGCATACTAGGGGCTACAAATGAGGAAATGGAACTCAAGTTAGTTTAAGCAAAAAGAATGGTGACTTGTGAATCTCAAGATAATCTGTGCAGTTGAACCTCAGGAATGATTGGAATTGGGGATTCAGATCCTGCCGAGGGTCTCCCTCTGACTAGTGTCTTCCTCTCCCACAGCATCTGGCTCCTTGTCTGTACACAGTGAGAAGTATGGACCTCACACCCCAAGCTGACACAATGGCTGCCACAGGGAGAGCTCTCAGTCCCATGAGCCCAGCCCTGCTAGGGACAAGTGCCTTCCTCAGAACAATCAGCCTTGGTCAGGGGCACCAGGTTAAAGGCTGAACCTTGAAGATGACAGGTGGGGGAAGTGCTGGATGAGAGGGTGCTGGTCCTGTTGAGAAGATCACTCCTGAAGAGCCAGTGACCATCAGGATCATGTTTCCTTCCTCGAATGCCTCATTTTTCCTGCAGTGTCTAAGGTTTTTTAATAGTAAGCAGTTCTCACAACAGAGAAGAATCTTGGAAATTTAATGCTTCCTGAAGAATGTAATTTCTGAATGATTATAACTATAAATATACCATTTTTATAGAGCCTGTAAACAAACCCAATTAAATAAAGCATAAGCCAGGCATGGTGGCTCACACCATAATCCTAGCTACTCAGGAGGCAGAAATTGGGAGGAGCTCAGGCAAAAGGTTTTTGAGGCCCCCACCTCAACCAATAGATGGGCCTAGTAGCATGCACCTGTATTCCCAACTACATGGAAAGCATAGCTAGGGGGATCGAGGTCCAGCCTGGCACAGGCATAAATGCAATTCTCTATTCAAAAAAAAATAACAAAAGCAAAAAGGAGTGGGGGATGTGGTTCAAGTGCTAGAGTGCCTGATTAGCAGGTACAAGGCCCTGAGTTCAAATTCCAGTACAATGGAAAAAGGCATAGTTTAAGCATACATATATTTCCAATTGCATGGCACTTTTCAAAGGCAATGGAATAATAAACACAACATATTGTATGATAACTTCTCAGGGGAGGCAGAGAAGTGGGACAGGGAGGGTCACACTGGCATATTCGTGTTTTTGATAATAGTCTAGTTCCTGGGTAGGTGATAGCTGCTTGGGAATTCATCATATTATAATCATTTATACAAAACAGATTTCATGTGCTCTTAGGAATGCATCAAATATTGTTTTTGAAAGGTAATTGAAAATAGTTGCATGAAGGAAATATAATCTTTGTGACTACGAGCTCAGCAATGGAAGATATTTATAGTCACAATTTATAAGGTAAACACTGCTCACTGGGTTTCCACTCTTAGTGTCAACAGATTCACAAAGCACAGAAGACTCGGTGATAGCTACAGAAGTACACAGCCAAGCAAAAGTCTAGAAGAGGTAACTGGGGAGGGAGAAGGAGGAGAAGAGAGCCCAAGGGAAGGGTGGAAGCACTCCCTCACCTAATGGCAGGTGGGAGTTGGTAGTAAACTCCCTAGCTTACTTGCACCTACACGGGTCATGTAGCAGGAACTGACAAACAATCTGTAAAGTTCCAGATAATAAATATTTTAGAAAAAGAAAATAAATAAATATTTAGGCTTGGTGAGTCAGATAATCTCTATTACATCTACTCAACTCCACTATTATAATCTGAAAACCATCACAGACCACATGTAAATGAAAAGGAATGACCATTCCAATACATAAAACTTTGTTTTAGAGCCAGGTAAAGTGGCTCAAGTCTATAATCCCAGTTACTCAGGAAGCAGAGATCAGGAGGATAACAATTCTAGGCCAGCCTGAGCAAATTGTTCACAGAAACCCCATCTCAACCAATGGCTGAGTGTGGTAGTGCGTGCCTGCCATCCCAGTACACATGGAAGCACAAATAGAAGGATGGTGGTCCAGTTCAGCTCAGTCATAAAGCAAGACCCCATCTCAAAAATAACCAATGGGAAAAGATCTGGCAGAGTGACTCAGTGGTAGAGTGCCTGTTGAGCAAGTGTGAGGCCATAAGTTCAAACCCCAGCCCCAATAAAAAAAAATTTTTAATTGACTATTTTATGGTCCAGGCCAAATTTTCCCAACCTTGTTCTTTTCTATCATCCACAGTTCTGCAGTAGGATTAAGCTGCAGTTGTCGCAGTAGTGACTGGTTTGATGTTCTTTCTGATTTTTTTTTTTTCTTCTTTTTTTGTGGGATTGGACTCCAAGGCCTTGTACATATGCTAGGCAAGTGCTTTACTAACTACAGCACTGAGCTATGTTCCCAGCTGGTTCCATAACCTTTATTGACTTTCTTCCCTTCCTAGTCCCACTTCCTTATGCCTTTACTAGTGTGTCATGGAGTCACCTCCCCAGTAATTCTCTGTGTTCAAATCTTTGTCTCAGGGTCTGCTTCTGAGAGAACTGGAATGAAGACAGGTGAGAACTATTGCTATAACTGTTTTTCAGAAGTATAAACAAAAAAGGAAAAAAGAAGCTAAGTAAATTTGCTCATGGGCACAGAGCTACCATGTAGTAAAGCAGCATTTGAATCTGGATGGGGTCACCAAAAAGTTCCCAATATATTCATAGTGTCCTGAAAAATCAGCAGAGGTGGGGATCTCCCTACTTAAGGATGAAAGGAATTCCACTGAGTTAACAAAAGGATGACAAAGAGAGCCAAAGGCTTGTTCCCTGCAGCACCATCCAGGAGGCAGTAAGTGTCCAAGGAAGAGTGACTGTGGCCCACGGAAGCAGATGGGAACTTGGGCAGTTCCCAGAATAGATCATAGCCTAAACATAACAAGGAAGCAGCAGAGGGGCATCAGACCCCAAGGGACCCGTGGACAGAGATATTGGATATGTCAGTATAATTGGGAGGACAGTTGACCAGGGCCCAGGGAGACACACTGACACGTTGTGCCTAAGCTCTAGTAAGCAGATGCAGGGAACAAGCCATGTCTTGTTTTCTATTGTAATCATGGTGGAATGAGAGTTCTAATTCAAAATTACGCAGAATTAGGAGAAACGAGGATTGTGTAACATCTTAGACATCTAAATTCGTGATTTGAGGTTAAACCTGCAAAGTAGAGAAAACTTTCTTATACAGAGCATGAAGGGAGGATACAAGCAGCCTCAAAGGAAGAATTTCCTTCTCTTTTCTTTCTTCCTTCTTTCCTTCCTTCTCTCTCTTCCTTCCTTCCTTTTGTTTTTTTCTAATCTTGCCATATTCCCCAGGCTGGTCTTGAACTCTGGGCTCAAGTGATCCCTCCACCTCAGTCTCCCAAGTAGTTGGAACTACAGATATGTGCCACCATGCCTGGCTTCCATTTCCATATAAAATATCTCTGTGTCTGTTTCGTTCTTTTCTGCTACCTCTAAATTTTCATATCTGTTCTGTTTAAAGAGCTCAGATTACAACTAAAATTTCTGTTTCAATCCCAAATTCCCAGAGAAGGATACTGATTGGCCCAGTTTGGAACAGTTGTATATTCCTGAGCCAATCAGCTATGGACAGGGGTTAGGACATGCGGCAGACTATGGCTTCTGAAAATCCATCCTTGGGTAGGAGGAACAATCTTCAAGAAGAAGTGTTTGGCAGAATACCCAGGAAATCCTGTGGAGTGACAACTCTTGTGTAAGGGT